AGAGAAGAAGAAGAAGAAGAAGAAGAAGAAGAAGAAGAAGAAGAAGAAGAAGAAGAAGAAGAAGAAGAAGAAGAAATAATTGAGACACAGGAGAAAGAAGGGAAGGAAGGAAAAGGAGAACTTAATAGAGAGGCAGGGGAGGGGAGGAGAAGAAGAAGAAAGGAAAAGAAGAGAAAAAGAGGAAGAGTTTGTTGAGACATGGGAGGAAAAAGGAGAGGAGGAGGAAGAAGAGAATGAGAAGTTAAAGGAGGAGGAGGAGGAGGAGGAGGAGGAGGAGGAGGAGGAGGAGGAGAAGAAGAAGAAGAAGAAGAAGAAGAAGAAGAAGAAGAAGAAGAAGAAGAAGAAGAAGAAGAAGAAGAAGAAGAAGAAGAAGAAGAACAACAACAACAACAAGAGGAAGAGGAAGAGGAAGAGGAAGAGGAAGAAGAGAGGAGGAGGAGGAGGAGGAGGAGGAGGTCATCTTCACCTGGCAAAAGGAGGGGGACATTCTGAAGGCTCCCCAGCTCCAAAAGTCACTTCCTCCAGAGATGCCTTCAGAAGTGGAGACTCCGCTATCCAACTCCAAAGACCTGGTTTTCCTGGGCAGAAGCTGCCTCCTCCCTTGAGGGACCCCAGTGGGGCTTCTGGTGAGGCCAACCAAGCCCTTTCCTGGTGGGCCTTCGTACCTTCAGGTCCCCAGCCCTAAAAGGAAGCCTCTCCAGACGCCTTCCCCTGGAGCAAGGGCCGCCTAGCATCTCTATGGAGGACCTGAGCAGGCCAAGCAAGAGAGAGGTCCAAGCTTCAGGATCCGGAACCCCGCTAGCGATGCCAGAGGAACCCAAAGCCATTTCAAACCAACCTTCCAGACTGATGGGCTTCAAATATCTTCACCTTCCTCCAGCATTGGACCAGGAGGTGGAAGGGGCCTTGTAGGTCATCTAGTCCAACCCCCCGCCTAAGCGGGAGACCCTACACCATTTCCGACAAATAGCAGTCCAGTCTCTTCTTGAAAAAGCTCCAGGGATGACGAAGCTCCCACAACTTCCGAAGGCGACTTCTGTCCCATGGGGAGATTGTTCTCCCTGTCAGAAAGTTTCTCCTTATTTCCAGGTTGAATCTCTCCTTGTTCAGTTTCCATCCATTATTCCTTGTCTGGCCTTTGTTTGCCTTGGAGAATAGCTTGACCCCCCCTTCCTCCTCCTCTCTGTGGCAGCCCCTCAAATATTGGAAGATGCTGTCCTGTCTCCCCTGGTCCTTCTCTTCCCTAGACTAGCCAGGCCCAGTTCCTGCAACCGTCCATCGTATGTTTTAGCCTCCAGTCCCCTCATCATCCTGGTTGCTCTTCTCTGCACTTTTTCTACAGTCTCAATGTCTTTTTTATAATGTGGTGACTAAAACTGGATGCAGTACTCTAGGTGTGGCCTTACTAAGGCTTTACAAAGTGGTATTAGTACCTCCCTTGATCTGGATTGTGTCCCTCTGTTAATACAACATGATTAAGCTCCGGTCGCCTAGAGGTGGGGCTCTCACCTCACAATCAGGTGGCTGTGAGTTCGATCCTAGGTAGAGGCTAATATTTGGAATAGATTCCCCTGCTCGAGCAGCGGGGTTGGACTAGATAGCCTGCAAGGTCCCTTCCAACAGGTGCTATTCTATGATCCTACGAACAATCCCTCTGTTCATGCAATCTGGACCTATCCAAGAGCCCCAAGACACACACACACACACACACTCTGCCCTCTTCCCCACCCACTCTGGACCCAAGGAGGAGACCAGCAGGGTCACCCCCCCCACTTTCTGTGGGTCTCCCCGAGATCCAAAAATCCTCTGCAAATCTGCAGGGCTCGCCATGGGCAAAGCTCATTTGCAAAGCTGACTGCTCAACCTCGAGAGCTTCTTTGTCGCAGGAGACAAACCCAACCAGCCCTTTGTCGGGGTACACAAAGCCGCCCTCGAAACCTAAGACCTTTTTCCATCTCTGGAAAGCCGATACGCTTCAAGACGACCACAAAGGCCGCCGCCTCGTTCTTTGTCCGCTTCTCTTGCAGGTTCTTTTTCTTTCCAGTCTCTCTCTCTCTCTCTCTCTCTCTCTCTTTCTCTCTCTCTCTCTCTTTTCATTAGCGGGAGGTTGGGTTGCATTTGCTGACGGGGTTGTTTTCCGCAGCCGTTGTGAGCGGAGGCTTTCTTTCTTTCTTTCTTTTTTTTCCGTGCCATCTCTCAGCAACCGGGAGGGACATTCATCCAGGGAGGAGAAAAGGGGACAGGATCGGAATACAGAATCGCGGGCTTGGAAGGGGCCTCGGAGGTCTTCTAGTCCGACCCCCGGCTCAGGCCACGAGCCGGTTAAGACTTCGCTCATTTATCGTAAGGTTGCATTAACAGAATCCTACAACTACAGAATAACAGGAACGTTTGGGAGGGACCTCGGAGGTCCTCTAGTCCAACCGCCTCCCCAAAGAGAAGACCCTTTGCCTTTGGGTCCATTGGCTGTCCAGTCTCTTCTTAAAAAGCCCCCAGTGAGGGAGCACCCAGAACTTCTGGAGGCCAGCAGTTCCACTGGTTAAATAGTCTTCACTGTCCGAACATTTCTCCTCAGTTCCAGGTTGCTTCTTCACTTGATGGGTTTCCATCCGTTGCGTCTTCTCCTGCCTCTTCAGGGCCTTTGGAGAAGAGAGTGACCCCCCCTCTTATTCTCTGGGGCAGCCCCTCAAATGCTGGAGCACTGTTATCATGTCACCCCTGGTCCTTCTTTTCTCTAGACTAGATACCCCAATTCTATTCAGTTCAGAATAGAGGGGCTTTGGAGGTCTACTAGACCAACCCCCACTCAAGCGGGAGACCCTATACCATTTCAGACAAGTGACTGCTTAATAACTTCTTTAAAACCTCCAGTGATGGAGCAGCCACGATTTCTGGTGGCGAGCAGTTCCACTGGTGAATTGTTTTAACTGTCAGGAAATTCCTCCTTAGTTCCAGGTTGCTTCTACTCCTTGATCAGTTTCCATCCGTTGCTTCTTCTCCTGCCTTCAGGGGCTGTTTGGAGAATAGCTTGACTGCCTCTTCTTTGGGGCAGCCCCTCAAATACTGGAAGGCCGCTATCATATCCTCCCCGGTCCTTCTTTTGTCTAGACCAGCCAAGCCCAGTTACTGCAACCATTCATCGTATTATTTTAATCTCCGGGCATCTAATTGTCTTCCTTGCTCTTCTCTGCACTTTTTCCAGAACCGGAGAAGCTTGTGGGATGAAAAAAAAAAAAAAAGGAACATTTTAAGGAAAAAATACCCCCCAAAGTCCAGTTGCCTTTTGGGGGAAAAAAATCATCCATCAATACTGGAGCTGACCCAGGAACATCAGCCCAGAGGTGCCTCTGCTAACCTCTCCCTGGATGCACAAACACTTCCCACGACCCACAAACGCAACCCATTTGTGAGTTCGGAAAGCCTTATGTCCCTTTCTAGGCCGTTTCATGGCAGGTTTTCCTTGACCGAAACCAAGAAAGTTTGTCCAAACTTGGGAAAAGAAGCAACGGATGGAAAAGGATCAAGAAGAGATCCTACCTACTCAAACTGACCCTGAGAACAATCACAGGTAGTCCTTGAGTTACAGCCACTTGAACCATTTGAAGTTATAACGCCTCCGAAAAAAGCGACCTGTGAGCACGATTCACACCTATGACCATTGCAATATCCCCAGGGTCACGTGATTAAAAATGGAGACCCGCCCTCCGGCAACTATTTACGACAGTCGCAGTCACTTGATCCGCTTTTGCGACCTTCTGACCAGTAAAGTCAATGGGGGGGGAAAAGCTGGACTCGCTTAACGACCATGTCACTCCACTGCGGCATAGCAAGGTTGTAAAACGGGGCAAAATTCACTTAACAACCTCACTCACTCGGTAAACAGAAAATGAAGTCCCAGTAATTTGGCCACCTTCCTTAACCCATGAAAACGTTTGTTACCTTCAGTCAATTTCACTCCCCAGATCCAAAGTTTACAGTCCAAGTTCCTAACAGCAAAGCGATCGGCAGCAAATACTTATTAAACTTTCTTCGAAGAGCCTCATATCTTTGAAATATTTCTTTTTCTTCTTCTTCTAATTCCATCAACTTCATTTTAAGATCAAAGCAACCTTTCCGCTCCGTTCCCCGGCAGAGAAGAACATGCCAAGTCTTGTCTTCCACGCGTGGCATCAATAATTCATCCCCATTTCAACTCCACTTTTTAACTTCCCATAAAAAGGAATCAATAACTTCGTGAGTCTTGATTGATTCATGCCCAACCTCCAACCTCTGAAATATTTTTACAGCAGCAGCAACCTCCCTAATATTCCCCTAAAGAGGCAAGGGACCAAGAATCAGGCAGCGATAAAACTTCTGTAAATCTACAAAAACAGCTTTGGCCAAGATCTATTTACTATCTGAAGCATTGCTTCAATGCCAGGTTGGAGAAACGAAATTTAAATCACCTCTGAAGTCCAATCTAGCTTAACCTCACTATCTCATCCCATCAACCAACAAGAATAATCCTGTGTTGTTTTTTTTGCCCTGTATTAAACATTTTCTTAAGCAACCCTGCTAGGCTAAGCTACCCTATATAAACCACTCATTCGGTAGCAGTGATGAGGTTCCCTAGTTGGGTCATGAAATGTCTAGAAGAAAATCAGCAAGCCCAAAGAGCACCGAGGACCCCACAGTCCTCCTTCTCACCCTCCCTCTCCTTTCCTTCCCCTCCTCCTCTCCACAAACCCCACTCCCTCCTAGCATGGATGATGTTCCCTAGTTGGGCCATAAAACGTCGCAAGAAAACAGCCAAGCTCAGAGAACACCAAGGACCCCACAGTTCTCCTTTCCTTCTCCTTTGCTTTCTCCTTCCTTCTCCTTCTCCTTTTCCTCCTCTTCCTCCTCCTCCTCCTCCTCCTCCTCTCTGTAAATCCCTCTCCCTCCTAGCACTGATGATGTTCCCTACTTGGGCCATGAAAGGTCTGCAAAGAAAATAGTCAAACTCAGAAACCACTAAAGATTCCTTTCCTTCTCCTTTTCCTTAAGTCTTTAAGGGGCCCAGGTTGGAGACCCCTGACTTAGATGACCCTTCTGGTCTCTCCCAACTCTATCATTCCTGACTGGCTGGGGAATTCTGGGGGTTGAAGTCCACGAGTCATAAAGTGGCCCAGGTTGGAGACCCCTGACTTAGATGACCCTTCCGGTCTCTTCCAACTCTATCATTCCTGACTGGCTGAGGAATTCTGGGGGTTGAAGTCCACGAGTCTTAAAGGGGCCCAGGTTGGAGACTCCTGACTTAGATGGCCCTTCTGGTCTCTTCCAACTCTATCATTCCTGGCTGCCTGGGGAATTCTGGGGGTTGAAGTCCACAAGTCTTAAAGTGACCCAGGTTGGAGACCCCTGACTTAGATGGCCCTTCTGGTCTCTCCCAACTCTATCATTCCTGGCTGGCTGGGGAATTCTGGGGGTTGAAGTCCACGAGTGGTCCAGGTGGGAGACTCCTGACTCAGATGACCCTTCTGGTTCCTTCCAACTCTATCATTCCTGGCTGGCTGAGGAATTCTAGGAGTTGAAGTCCACAAGTCTTAAAGGGGCCCAGGTTGGAGACCCCTGACCTGGAGGGGGGAGAAGCTCCATAGACATATGCCCACCTATTCCCAGCAACAGGTCTGGAACCTCCCAGCCAATCCTGGCCACTGGATGACCCCAGGTGAGCCAGGTAGCTGAAGAAAGAAGTGGGGGGAATGATCCCAGCTTACCTTGGGAGCCAGGAACTGAGAAGATTTATTCACCACCCACTTTGGCAAAGAACCTGCAAGGGGGGCAAATCGAAGTATTGGTCACGGCACCAGGGCTCGCTCAGGCTGCTCCAAGCACTGTGCAAAATGGGCCCCCACAATGCCTGGGAATTGTGCGCAGGTGCACCTACACCCCCCACCCTACCCCGCAACACCTGAGACACCCAGTCAAGAGTCCGAATCAAGAAGGAGACCCCCAACCCAGTTTGGGACATACGGGCAGTCTTCAACTCACAACGAAGTTACGAGTTTGTTCAGTGAACGAACCAAGGCACTGAAAAGAAGGAACTTATGACCACTGCTCACATTTATGACCGTGTGAAAAAACAGTCGTAAGTCCCTTTTTCCAGGGCCGTTGAGATTTCAAACGGTCGCTAAATGGAACGGTTGTTAAGTCACGGATCACCTGTACAAGTAAACATTGGCCAGCCCAGCTTCCCAAGGTAGCAGAGCCCAAACCATACACCTCTTCCCAACCAGGTGTAGCGTAACTCCCTTGGTGAAGGATGCGAGGGCCCAACCTTACCTTTGGGGTCTACCTGAGCTAGGTAGGTGAGGCTGCAGTTCTTGGCTCCTTTCCCCTGGATCAGGTAGCCTGTTTGGATGGAGACGGCTCTGACCATGTCCTTCCGCGGCGGGTATTTCTAAAAAGAGACCAGTGGATAAAGTTTGTAACTCCCACCAGCAAAGCCCAGAAGTGGCCCTAAGACCATGGGTGCATTGGTTTCAATCAGAATAGAGCTGGAAGGGACCTTAGAGGTCATCTAGTCCAACCCCCCCTGCTCAGGCAGGGGACCCTCTACCGTTTCAGACAAACGGCTGTCCAGCCTCTTCTTAAAAATCTCCACTGATGGAGCAGCCACAACCTCTGGTGGCAAACAGACCTTGGCCACTTTAAGACTGGTGGACTTCAACTCCCAGAATTCTCCAGTCAGTTATGATTGAGAGAAACAGGAAGCAATTATGGCGGGGGGATTCTGGGAGTTGAAGTCCACAAGTCTTAAAGGGGCCCAGGTTGGAGACCCCTGACTTAGATGGCCCTTCTGGTCTCTCCCAACTCTATCATTCCTGGCTGGCTGGGGAAATCTGGGGGTTGAAGTCCACAAGTCTTAAAGTGGCCCAGGTTGGAGACCCCTGACTTAGATGGCCCTTCTGGTCTCTTCCAACTCTATCATTCCTGGCTGGCTGGGGAATTCTGGGAGTTGAAGTCCACAAGTCTTCAAGTGGCCCAGGTGGGAGACCCCTGACTTAGATGACCCTTCTGGTCTCTTCCAACTCTATCATTCCTGGCTGGCTGGGGAGTTCTGGGAGTTGAAGTCCACAAGTCTTCAAGTGGCCCAGGTTGGAGACTCCTGACTTAGATGGCCCTTCTGGTCTCTCCCAACTCTATCATTCCTGGCTGGCTGGGGAATTCTGGGAGTTGAAGTCCACAAGTCTTCAAGTGGCCCAGGTTGGAGACTCCTGACTTAGATGGCCCTTCTGGTCTCTCCCAACTCTATCATTCCTGACTGGCTGGGGAATTCTGGGAGTTGAAGTCCACAAATCTAAAGTGGCCCAGGTTGGAGACCCCTGACTTAGATGACCCTTCTGGTCTCTTCCAACTCTATCATTCCTGGCTGGCTGGGGAATTCTGGGAGTTGAAGTCCACAAGTCTTCAAGTGGCCCAGGTTGGAGACGCCTGACTTAGATGGCCCTTCTGGTCTCTCCCAACTCTATCATTCCTGGCTGGCTGGGGAATTCTGGGAGTTGAAGTCCACAAGTCTTCAAGTGGCCCAGGTTGGAGACTCCTGACTTAGATGGCCCTTCTGGTCTCTCCCAACTCTATCATTCCTGACTGGCTGGGGAATTCTGGGAGTTGAAGT